CTTTAGGAATGGATGAGTTGGTCTTCCTTTTTGCTTTTTTAACTTCTTGCATAATTGAAATATGTAAACACTAGGAAGACTGTAACAACCAAACTCCCGTATTATACTACCTAAATTAAAAACCACGCACATCTCACCATATTTGCTTCCAGTGTTTTTACAGAAATAAAGCACTACAGCTAAAGTCACATTTAACCTACTGACATAGAGACAACCTCCAATGCATTTGAATCCATCCTCCCAGAACACTGACACGCTTATACAAAAGACTCTTGTGTAGGTGAGTATGTGTGTTTCATGCCCATGATGGCAAGGGGTAGCACATGCGATATGTGCACCTTGCATTGTGTCTGTATGCTCCCTCTGCATTGGGCCCTCTCAACTCAATGTTTTCTGAGTTGATGCTGCATTGTTGGATGTATATCTGACCCATTCCTTGTGGAGGCCATTTTATGGGATGGATTGTGTGCCCCCAAAATTCCTATGGTCAAGTCCTAATCCTCACTGCCTCAGAATGTGACTATTTGGATGAAGGATCTTTAAAGAGATAATTAGGTTAAAGTGGGGCCATTAGGGTAAAGCCTGATCTATGATTGGCATCTTTATGGAAGAGGCGATTAGGATACAGACACACAGAAAGAAGACCATGCGAAGACAGAGTGAACACAGCCATCTACAAGGCAAGGAGAGCAGTCTCAGGAGAAACCGACCCTGCTAACACCTAGCCTCCAGAACTGTGAGAGGGCAGATTTCTGTCATCTAAGCCACCTCATCTGTGGTGTTTTTTCATGGCAGCCCAACTAGACCAACACCGAGACAGCAAACTGTTCCACAGAATGTACAGGCTGCAGTGTGCTTCCCTCATGGCTCAGCAGGTGAAGAATCCGCCTGCAATGCGGGAGACCTGGGTTCAATCCCTGGGTTGGGAAGATCCCCTGGAGAAGGGAAAGGCTACACACTCCAGTGTTCTGGCCTGGAGAATTCCATGGACAGAGGAGCCTGGTGGGCTACAGTCCATGGGGTCACAAAGAGTTGGACACGACTGAGCGACTTCCACTTTCACAGTGTTTTTAGCCATTCCCCTAATGGTGGACATTTAGATGGAAACAGCACAGATACGTATCCTTGACCATGGCTTCTGTGCATACACGTAGGAGTAGCTCTAGGGTGATGCCTAGAAATGAAACCGCTGGGTTAAACGAGAGGCACATTTTCAAACTTTCAAGATGCTGCCAGATGGTTCTCTAAAGCATTTGTATCAATTCATACTCTCAACGACAGTTAGTTCCCCCACATCCTAGCCAACATTTAATATCCTCAGACTGAAAAATTTGTGCCAAAATGATTGACCAAAAAAAATGTACTGCCTTAATTACCTTCCCTAATTATATATGCCCTGGAGAAGAAAATGGCAACCCACTCCAGTATTCTTGCCTGGGAAATTCCATGGACAGAGGAGCCTGGTGGGCTACAGTCCATGGGGTCGCAAGGAGTCAGACACAACTTAGCAACTAAACAACAAGAACCATTATATATGAAATTGACTATCTTTTCATACACTGCCCTTTCTTATTTCTTCTGTAAATTCTCAGTGCATATCCTTTGTCTGTTTTCACTTTAAATTGTATGTCTTCTTCTACCTGACTTGTGGGAATTATATACATCTTAGATAACAATCCTCTGTCTGCTAGCTCTTTTGTAAATCCTTCTCCCAGGCTACCATTTGTCTTTTAATCTTGCTCATGGCGTTATTTTGACAAAAGTTTTCTAATTAGGTGTAATCAGATGTATCTCTATTTATGTCTTTTTTGGTGTCACCTTAAAAAAAAAATCCTTTCCTCTCCCCAATTCATAATTTATTTTCTCACAATTCTGGCATTTTCTTACATTTTTTTCTAATAGTCCTAGAATGTTTTTTGCCATGTTTAGATCTTCAGTACATCTTTAATTTATTTCTGTGATGGGGATAGGTAGGACTTTCTAATTATTTCCTCTGTGAGAGTCAACTGTCTCAACGCCATCTATTGAAATAGCAAATACTTACTCTAAAAAAAAACCTCAGTAAAGCACCCACAGACTGTCTCATTTTAAGTAGTGTAATTTCCTGCTAACTCCTCCAACATGTATTAGGAGGTAAATGTGCCCGAGGTGAGTAAATAAGCTGACCTAAATGGGTATTTGGATATGAGCCAAGCAAATGCTAGACGTTGTCTGCCAAAAAAAAAAAAAGGGTTTTGATGTTGGAAGAGGTGATGTCAAGCCCTTCTTCCTGACGGTCACTGGATAGCGTGGCCAGGTGTCTCTCCAGGACCGTTTTGACTGTGTAATGCTTCAACCATCAGTGGCGTTTAGGAGGCTTGTCTTTCCACTGTCCCTGGCCAGGGGACGTGTCTCCTGCCCCCCAGAGCAGTGACCCCTTCCTCTGGAAGGACACGCTGAAGTTGGCTACAGAATCGTCTCTGGAAATGGGAGAATGTGTGCTTGTGCAGAGGCTGATTTTTTGACTGAATTCCCCCCTTTTTTGACTAGCTGCATGTAGGAGCCACTCAAGATGATAATTTCTTTTTAAAGCCCCAAAGGAAAAAAAAGACACTAAGTAAAACCAGGAGAAAACATGCCTGTGCTATTCTGCTCGAGGAGAGAAACACTGATGAGAACTTTTGCGGGGAGTAATTTGACTAGAAATTTATATTTTACTTTAATTATCTGAATAATTGACACCAGTGGTTTTCAGATATTTCTTAGCTACAAAAAACTTTGTTCAAACTAGACCTTTCTCAGAAGACCAACATTAGAATCGATGAAAATAAAGCAAGCTTTTTTAAAATGGGAATCCCCACTGAGGGTCTTTGAGGGGGAGCTTGGTGGGACCCTCAGGGCTCTTTAGAGTACACTGAAAATCCTCCTTTAAAGTCAAGGTATTGGAGAATTAGAGATCTGTTATAATCCCCTTTTTCACTTGCATCACGTAGTAATTCTCCTTCCTCTCTGAGATTCACAGCGCTGCGCGTCTGCTCATTCTGTGAACACTCCTTGAGCACACCTACGGTTTTCCAGGCCTACGACAGGCAGCCAAGGGGAAGAGGTGACGGGGAGGTGGTGAGGTCTGAGCCTGACTGCGAAGCATGAGGAGGGAACCACTGAAGGTCGGGGAGGGCGTCCCAGCCTCCGGAGACTGCAGGGGAAAGCTGGGGGAAGCAGGCTGTGGGATCACAGGGGTGGGGCGGCAGTGGGGGGCGGCCTGGGGAGACGCACGCAGCATCTGTTGGTGGCAGCAGGTGCTGAAACTGGAGAGGAAGGGAGGAGTGAGCTGCTGCGTGCCTGGGGGACCTTTCTAAGTTTGGACTTGGGAAGCCACGAGGAAAAGATTGAAGGGTCTTAAGCAGGAGATTGACACAGTCATGTTTGTGCTTTGGAAGGATCCCTCTGGCCCAAGCAAGCATTCAAAGAGGATGTCATTAGGGCAGGGAGGCTGGCTAGGAGATCGTCACAGACATCCAGGGAATGATGGGCTGACCTGAAACCAAGCCACAGAGATGAAGCCGGAGAGGGCTGACTAAGACAGAATGTGAGGGATGGTGTTCAGAGGAGGAAGACAGAGGGGTCTGGAGGATCCTGGGAGTCTGGGTTTGTATAACCAAATGGGGGTGGGTAATCAGTGCCATTTAACATGGCATGAAAGATGGGAGAAAGGGCTGGAGGTAATCGGTGATGAGTTTCAACGGGGGCAGGTTTTTGTTTGAAGTACCTGCGAGGTGTCAAACTGGACAGGCCCGGTAGGTAGTCGGATATCTGGTTCTGGATCTTGGGGGAGAGATCTTGGATGGAGGGGATGATCTGGGAGCCAGCCTAAGTGTGATGATAACGGTGAGTCAAAAAGGTAGCTAAAGTTCTTGACAGACTGGAAACAATGCAGACAGGAGTCCCGAGAAGGCAGGGCAAGGGGACCCCAGGAAGCAGACTGAGCCAGCTCAGCAGAGAGGAAGAGAGTCAGGGAGGGTGGCAATCAAAGAAACAAGGGGGAAGAGTCCTGGGGTGAAGGGGTTGTGGGAGGTTCAGATGCTGGCTGGGAAGAAGAAAGGGAAGGACTGTGATGATGAAGAAAGTACAGGCTAACCCAGGTCGAGGATTATCTAACTGCACGATAGAATCACCTGGGGGATCTTTCTAAAATAATAAATCCTGCATTATAGACTTCATTGGTTTAATGTGGGGCCTGGGCCAGAATATGTTTTTAAATCTCCCCAAGACAGCCTAGCGTGTGGCCACAGTTGGGGACCCCTATTTCAGTTATGCCCTGTTTGGGCCACAGGGGATTGAAGCAGGCTCCCCTAGGAGAGGTCAGACGGCTCTCACATTGACCCACGTTGCTGGGTCACGCTGGAGTGGTGAGTAGGAGAAACGGAGTCCAGTCAATAAAAATGCATCTATGTGGACCCGGGTCTTTTTGGTAGAGACAGGTCCTGAAACTGGGGGAACACCAATGAAGGGTCCTCCATTGTTGGTGAAGGGAATTCCATCGGGCTTTCCCAGAATGTAAGAGATCTGTCCCCCAGGTCAGGCCAAATTTATACCCACCAAATGTCTTTCTGGTGAATAATTAAGCTTTACTTGGTAATTTAAGTTTCACGTAGTTTTTGAAATTTGAAAGGAATACATATATATATATATATATATGAAGGCACAGTTTTCCTCCTCAAATCATCTCCACCCACAACCACACCCCAAAGCCAACCACTGGGTCATTTCTGTTTATGTGTCTTCTGGTGGTTATCCCATAACTGTAAATGATATGCTTACATCTGTCTTTCATAACTTATCAATACTGTACACTACTTATCAGTAACAGAAGAGGAACATTTACTTACTCTGCTTTTATGTCTTTTCCCTGCCAAAGTTTGGTGCTCTGTATTATTTTTAATTCTTCTTTGGGTTCCTTTTATAAGAGTATATTTTAAATTCTATTTCTTGTTCCACAGACTTGACACAAAATTTCCTACCTCCACACAGTGTGAAATGAAGATATCAGCTCCCTGCTTTCCTCTTTCACCTTCTGTCAGTTTGATCTGTGCATTTCCATTGTTCTGACTGACAGCATTACACTGTTCTGTAACCATAAGTCCTCTCTTCTTGGTCTGTAGGTTAATTCTGAGTTGAAAACCAAAAAACTGCACTTACATTATTTCAAGCAGGTAGATGTCATTGCCTGGAGAGCCAAGGACTGTGACAGCACCTGTTTCTTTCTGGGCCCAGTGTCACGGCCCTCGGGTGACTCAGGCGGAGTGTTCCCAGCAGCATGGCGGATGCTCTTTTTTCACAGTTCGCCCATGACTCGAAATCATGGCTCACGTTAGCTTTCCTCCTTTGGGACCATGGTTCTCTCGTACCTTTTGGAGGTTTTCCTCAAAGTGGAAAAGTCGCTCAGTCATGTCCAACTCTGCAACCCTGGGGACCATACAGTCCATGGCATTCTCCAGGCCAGGATACTGGAGTGCGGAGTCTTTCCCTTCTCCAAGGACTCTTCCCGACCCAGGAACTGAACCAGGCTCTCCTGCATTGCAGGCAGATTCTTTACAACTGAGCTATCAGGGAAGTCCTAGACTTCACTTTTTTCTTGTTGAAAGAAGAAACATATTCTGTCTTCACCACATCACAAACATTTCTGCGTCCTGCTTATTCCATCTCTGTAAGAAGACAAATTGAAAGCATTCAATTTGTCTATTTGTCTCTTTATAGAGATTTCTTGGAGTCCAGTTACTTCCTGTTTCAATTTAAACCTGGGAAAAGGGATGTTAGAGTTAAAGAATACAAACATTTTGATCACTGCAAAAGGCCAATCTCATTTTAAACAAATCAGTTTGCTGTGTATTCATTAGTATTGTCTGAATTTAGTTAGCATGACCTTGTCACAGAGATGCTAATTGTCTATGGACACATAAAAAAACTTCAGGTTCTGAGCCTCAGAAATTAAGTATCCGATCCTGAAGGTGGTCACCCAGGCAGCCCTCCAGTCTCACCACAATCAGCCAAAACACCGCAGGGCGCTTGCAGTGGGTACTGCGCTGCGCCGCCAATACACCCGAAAGGACTAAGGCCTTCCGTCTCTCGCCTCAATTCCAGGCATCTTTGAAGAGCCGTCAACCTTCAGAGTTCACCTGGGACAGAGAGAGGCCTCTTCTGCAGCTGACTTGAACTTCAGTTCCTTTTTCTGCCCAGTCTTTCTTTCACTTTCTGACAGGTCCTGTTCCCACAAGCATTTCCCAAGAAATATTCTGTCCTGAAGTCTGTTTTCTGAGGAACTGTATGTACAATCCTACTTTTCTCTCATACATAAACAAACACCATAAGCGAATAATAATACAGAACGAAGCTTCGCCTTCCTCAGAGACAGGAAGGGGGCCGCTGAGGTTCAGGAGATGACCGCAGGGCTTGGAGGGGCGGGGGCGGAGGACGCGGAACGACGGCCTGGAGGTTGAGGAGGAGAACGCTCTATTTCTAACCGCAGTTTCCCTATTATGTCTGTACCGGAGGCCATGACAGGAGAGGCGTGGGCTGGGAGACGGGGATGGGTGTGGTCCTGACCTCCTCCCCAACGAGGACGCCTGTCTCCATGTTGCCAGCGCCCTTGATCGAGAAAGCGGTCTCTCCCTTTGCCGTGCCCGCCACCTCCCCAGACGCAGCCCAGGCCCTCCTCTGCGGACAGAGACCCCGTCCTTGGACGGAGGAGACGCGCACACACGCCGCGGCGTCTGACTTCCGGTGCCGCGGCGTCTGACTTCCGGTACCGCATCACTTCCTGCCAGAACCAACTGCCTCACCGCCCCAGCTCCCATTAAACCCTCAAAAGTGCACTTGGACTTGACATGCTTATCAGCTTCCCACCAACGATGAGGGTGGGCAAAAGCCTTTTCCTCCTCACAAAGACAAATTTGGTGAAAATGAAATTCTCAGGGAACATATACATACACACACACATATATATATATATAATATATGCTTTTTTTTTTTCATTTAGAATGAGAACTTTCCCAAGGGAAAATGTGCAGCCTTGTAGCTTAGATAACCAGCTTTGAGAAGGGGCGGGAGCCCCTAGCTCAGAGACTACACACCGCAGTCTGTCCCCCCACCTTTTGCCAGCTGGGCAGCTTGGATCAGTGACTTACTAACGCTAACCCTCAGTCTCCACGTCTGTAAAATTGTCCTGAGAACAGCACCTACCGAGCAGAGCTTGGAAAACTTTTGTGAAAAATTGAGGGAGACAACTGTGAAGACTCGCTGGCACCCTGCCCAGTATGTGGTGAGCACTAAGCAAATGTTACCTGTGATTTTTGAATTTTATTTTTTTCTAATATTTTCTTTTTTGAATTTATTATTTAATTGGAGGAAAATCGCTTTACAATGCTGTGTTGGTCTCTACCACGTCACAACAGAAATCAGTCATAATCACACATGTATCACCTCCCTCTTGAGCCTTCCTCCCCTTCCCTCGCAACCCCTGGGGCCATCACAGCGCACCGCGCTAGGCTCCCAGGTATCAGTGAACTGGCTCTGTTTCAGTTGCTAAAATGCTACTGCTTGGGCCTTTGTGAGCAGCAGCTGTCCCGAGTCAGCTTTCTGTTTTATTCTCAAGTGTTATTCTACTTCCCCTTCAGGTGTCTGGCTCTGGAGGTCCCCATAAGCCTTAAACCCGAGGAGGTATCACGTGGGAATCGAAATCCAGTCTGTTTCTCTTTGGCGAACACTTGCGCTGCCCCATGCAGATGCCTGCCTACTCCCCGTGGCAGATTCGTCTTTCGGAATAGTCGACTCAGAGGCTGACCTATCAGGCCACCCCACATCCCCAGAGTGACATCCCGTCTCAGGTGTAACGCGAAGGCTGGCCGGGGGAGAACCTGTCCTCTGGGGACGAGGGTGCACTCTGCTCCTACCTGCCCTTTTTTCCTACCTGTGGATTTCTTTCTGTCATCTTATTTTCTCTCTGTCACTTTTGCTTTTTTCTTCTACAGGATTGTGGGTTCTTTTTACATATGAAATAAATAACATATGATTAATCTAAACACAGAAAAGCAAAGAAGTGGGAGGAAATGTAATCCCACAACCTTAGGTGTGTGTTCTTCTAAAGCACCTAGACATGCACACAGTTTTTGTCTCCGTGAAAATAAAGTCATATAGGCGAGACTGATGGTTCTCCATCAGGGTGATTTTTGTTCCTCTCTCAGGGGACATGTGGCACCCTCTGGAGATATTTTGGGTTTCCTTGGTGGCTCTGTGGTAAAGAATCTGCCTGCCAATGCAGGAGATGTGGGTTCAATCTCTGGGTCAGGAAGATCCCCTGGAGAAGGAGATGACAACCCACTCCAGCATTCATGGACAGAGGAGACTGGTGGGCTACAGTCCGTGGAATCTCAAAAGAACTGGACAGGATTTAGTGACTAAACAATAAGAACAGAGATATTTTAGTTGTTAGAACTGGAGCAGGTGGTGCTGCTGGCACCTCGAGACAGCGGCCAGGGCACTGCTGGACCCCCCACAGAGCACGGGGCAGCCCCACAACCAGCCGCCCAGCCTCAGCAATCAAGAGGGCCAAGTTAGGAAACTCCGGTCCAGACCAGGCTTTGGCAGATCATAGCCCCTGCTGAGTATCCGCCTGTTTTTATAAATAAATTTTTATTGGGACCCAGTGATGCCCACCTGCTTACATGTTGTCTCGGGCTGCTTTAGCCTTACCAGGGCAGCTGAGTAGTGGTCACAGGGACTGTGTGGCCCGCAAAGCCTAAAACAGATGTGAACCACACATGAAATTTTACATTTTTCTAGTATCCACAGTTTTTTTAAATTACCCAATAGCAAGAGAAGCAACCCATCTAAAAGAAATGGGCTAAGGATAGGAACAGACATTTTTCTAAAGAAGGCATGAAAATGGCCAGTGGGTTTGTGAAAATATTCTCAACCCTAATCATCAGGGAAATGTAAACCGAAACCACAATGAGATATCATCTCACACCTGTTAGGAGAGCTAAAATGAAAAAGAGAAAAGGTAAGTGGTCCTGATGTAGAGAAAAGGAAACCCCCCTGCCCTGGTGATGGGCATGAAATCGGTGCAGTCACTATGGAAAATGGAGAAGGAAATGGCAACCCACTTCAGTTTTCTTGCCTGGAGAATTCCACGGACAGAGGAGCCTGGCAGGCTACAGACCATGGAGGTGCAGAGTTGGACACGACTGAGCAACTAACACTCTCACTTTCACTATGGAGAACAGTATGATGGTTCCTCAAAGATTAAAAATAGAACTGCCATGTAAGCAGCAATCCCTCCTCTAGCAATCACTGGTGGATCATGCAACCTGGACACTGAAATCATTGTTACCTCGGGGAGAGGTCTGTGCTCTCGTGTTCACTGCCGTGTTATTCACGATTACCAAAAATATGGAAACAACCTAAATATCCATTGAGAGATGAATGAATAAAGAAATTGTAGTGTATAAAGTCAATGGAATATCATCCAGCCTGAAAAAACAAGATCTTGCCATTTGCAACAACATGGATGTACCTGGAAGACATTTTGCTAAGTGAAATAATACAGATCTGAAAAGAAGAAATTACTGCACAATCTCATTGACATGTGGAATCTAAGAGAAGTACACAGAAACAGGGAATGGAATGGTGGTTACCAGGGTTAGGGAGGTGGAGGAAATTGGGAAATGTTGGTGAGATGGTACAAAGTTGCATCAAAGAGCATACATAAATGTTTAAGTCTCTGAAAGACTTTGTTTAGTAATAATACCTCCCTTACCAGGTTGTTATGAGGATTAAGTGAGCTAGTACATGTAAACCAGTTTTATTAATCCAAGTAAGGTTAATAAGACTTGCCTGGCACATAAAGGCACCCTATGAATGTCATCTGTTAGAAGTCGTAGTATTACATCTGAATCCATCTCCAGCACTGTTATATCAATTTAAGCATGCTGTTAAATGTCCACAAATACCTATGCATATGCAAAAGTGGCCTCCTGCTATCACTGGCTTAGTCTGACTGTAATTCATTAGTCTTCTTAGACTTAGTTTTCCTTGATAGATTTGTCACAGCCTCAGTCTATGGCCATATTTATGTGCTGTGTGCTAAGTCACTTCAGTCATGTCTGACTCTC